ATGGATTGCAGTGGACTTTTTTCAATTAATTCTGATTTTCCCCTGCCTGTTACTGTAAAACTCCAGATGGTCTGGGGCTTCACGGTTCCCGGGGTATTTTTCCCCGTTATTTTAATCTTCTTTTGTAACACGCCCCACATGTGGAAACTGGGCCTTTCAAGACTCTGCACTCTGAGCATCAGCCGCAGCTCTTTCTTCTCTGCTGCGCCGCCTTGTTTTTCCTTTTTGTGTGGTGGCATCTCCCCTCTTGGAGGGGCCAGGAGGAAGGGCATCCTCCTCTCCCGGCCTCAGCTCTACATCCTGGGCTGGGCCTGGACTTTGCCTAGAAATGGAACCCAGGACGTGGGCCCAGTTGGAAATTATCGTAATAGCTGCTGAGGGCATCCCCGTTTTTGGTGCTTTCCACCGGGGTCCTGAGGCAGTGGCCAGAGTGGTTAGGGACACAGAGAAACAGATGGGCACAGCAGCCAGACTCGAGATCAGATCCCAGCTCCGCCAGTCACTAGCTATGTGACCTGGAGCCAAGGGTGTCCCCTTGCTGCGCCTCAGGCTCCTCCTCTGCAGAGTGGGGCTATCAGCAGAGCATGTTGTCGTGATTAGTGACACAGCACGTGAGACGCACACAGCAGCCAGCCCTTGGTAGGCGCTTCCTACCCTGTTTGTCCAAACCCTGCCTAGGCGTCAAGTCCTGGAGCTAGAAGGCTTTAGTGAGCCCCCCGCCTTCCCCAGCTGGACGCCACCTGAGATCAGCCCCTTCTGGGGGCTGAATACATTCTCTTTTGTTTGGACTTATGGGGCTTTTGTGGTCTTTTTGGCCCTGAAGTCCCAGCTCCCAGCACCCTGCCAGGCACACAGGGGCAGCTGAGTGAGGCAGGATATGAATCAGTGTGCACAGAGAGGACGAGCCTGAATCCCAGAAGTGAGGAGGTAGAAGGGTGAGGCAGGACAAGTGATGGGGTGCGGGCAGCAGTGACGAGGGTGAGTGATAGGTCAGGGGTAGGTGGATGGGGCATGTGGGTGCCTTTCAGAATTGTGGGGTTTGCCTGGCCCTGCTGCCTTGTGTTGAAGATTGAGGAGGCAGTTCTTTCTATAAGCGGTGGCGGTTCTGACTGTGGCTTAGCCCTTTGGGACGAGTAGCAGCAATTCCCCCTTTGCCCCCCTTGCAACAGGGTGGGGGACATCCCGGGAGGTCTGCTATGCGGGGTTATATACCTGAACATTGACAGCAGGGAGGAGGGGGTCTGTCCAGGGCAAAATCTGCCCTAGAGCCTCAAGGGACTGGAGTGTTGGTGGGGGGAGTGTCAGGAAGGTCTGTGTGCGTACCCCCTTGGGGTGCAGACCCCATGGAAGCATCATTACACCTTTGGGTCACAGTGGCATTGCCTTAGGGCCCATCCTGCAGCCCCCTCAGGGAAACCAAGGCCCAAAGCCAGGGATGTGCCTGTTGGCTTTATTTCTGCTGCAACACCTATGTCTCCATTCTGGCAGCATCTCTAACCCCACAACACAACAGTGGGGGGCACCACTCCGTGCTGCCCTCCCAGCCCCCACATAGCCAATACATAGGGCCCCATCAGGCCATTCCCACCCCAAAAGGCTGCCTCACTCTCATCAGAGGCTGTTTCTGGCACCCAAGTGATGCCCCGTGGGATTGACATTGGAAAGGGTTTTAGGGCCAGACCCAACGGCAAGCCTGTCAACCAGGGCCCTCTGGTCTTTACTTCTGGGGTCAGTAAAAACCTGACCTACACTGGTGTCTTTTCTGAGGGCAAGATAGGAGCAGTCACCACCATGATGATAGTGATAACATTTACAGAATGTGTCCTGTGTGCCGTGCAAATATGCACCTCGCCTTGCCCTCACATCACACCAACTCCCTGAGCTGGTTTCTGTCTTCATGTTACAGAGAAAGAAACTGAGGCACAGAGAGGGCCACTGACTTGCCAAGGTCACAGGGCTGTCTGCTTTCCAAGTCTGGACACTTAACCCCAAGTCGTGCCACACCAGACCCCTGAAGGCCTCGAATGCCAAGGGGGTTGGCTGGATGTCGGAAGGCATGATGAGCTCTAGAGTCTCGAGTGGGGTGACCCCAGGGACAGCACAGGCCCAGCAGAGCGAACACACATAGGTGTGAACCCGGGAGCGTGCCATCCTCCTGGCTCTGCCTCTGTTGGCTGTCTGTGTGGTGGTTGGATGGGGAGGACCTGGTGAACCTTGGCAGCAGCTGTGAGCAGAGCCCACACCCTCAAGGTCCCTGGCATGTCCGGGTGCTGGCCTGCTGGGGGTGTTGCTCGGGAGTGGTCCCTGCAACGTCTTCACCCCAGAGCAGTCCTGATCGGGCAGCACCCCTTTTCCACCTGCCGCTACCTCTGGTTCTACCTTGGGGGATAGGCATCCCATCAGGGCGCCCTCAGCTGCTGCTTGTTCACCCTAGCCTGTGACACCACTCTGGGAGGTTCTGGGGGCATAGGGGTAGGACATGGGCATGGCACAGACCTAGGGCACAGGAATTGGGGTACTTGGATGAACCCTGCAGGGAAGAGGGTGCATTCACAAGGGCACATGCCTCCCCAGGCCTGGGAATTTCTGTTCTCACCCCCCATGGATCAGGTCTCTAACCCAGCCTTTGTCCCGCAAATGAGAAGCCAGCCCTGCCCTCAGGGAGCTCCCAGACCCTCAGCCTAGAGGCCTGGCGAGAAGGCAGTAGGTGTGTAGCAAAAAATCTTCTAACCCACAGGCTCAGGGTGTGACCAGGGAGGGGCCGCGGAGCTGGGAAGGCTTCTCGTAGGAGGCCTTGCTTGAACACCACGAGTAGATGAGTAGACATCTGCAAAATGAGTGAAGGAGGGAAAGGCATTCCAGGCCCAGGGAACAGCTCAAGCAAAGGCCTGGGGGCCTGAGAGTCCCTGACAACACTCAGAGTCGTCACTCCCAGCAGCTCCAGCAGGACACGGTGGGTGTGTGCAGATGGGGGAGGTGTCAGGTTTGCAGCAGAAGAGTGCGAACACCAAGCCGCAGATCCTGGGCTTTTGAAAAATGTATGAATTAAATAGTCAGCGAGTCGGCTGAGATGGAGGCTGGCCAGACAGGCATAAGGGCCCTGGTGGGAAGGAGATGATACACGGGTCTCCAGAGTCTGGGGGACTGTCGCACAGTCAGGAAACACACGTGGTGCACGAGGAGTTATTGCTCCTCTGCCTTAGATGTCCTCCCTTCGGGCAGCGGCCAGAGGAGGGACGAAGGACCAGCTGGGTGCCAAGAGGCAGCCCACTTTCCTTCCAGCCGTGGCTCCTCCACCTCATTCTGGGGTGAGCGTGGCACAGGGCCATCGCAGGAGAGCGGAGGAGTAGCTTGTGGCCTCTTCACTCCCCAGGCAGGATTTCCTCCTGGTTTTGATGCATGGAAAAGGCACCTCGTCTGGGAGCAGAGGCGGGACAGTCTCTAAAACCCAGCTGCAGGCTGCCCGCCTTGGATCAGCCCCAGCAGAGCATGGCCTGCAGTTGTGGGCGGGCCTTCAAGGGAGGGACGCGGAGGGAGCTCACCCCAGACCAGTCATTGTCCCCAAGTCCCTGTCCTCAGGTCTGTCCTAAGCTGGGGGATGAAACTCATGGCTTGGGCACAGGAGCTGGTTCCTCTGGTCTCTTCCTCCCCAAGGGTCACCTCCCCCTGCCCACCTGCCCTGGGAAGGCAGCGGGCACAGCAGAACCACCTGGGCTTTGGTGTCAGAGGTGGCCTGCGTCCTGTCTTTGCCGTGTCACCGCCCTGTGATCACCACACGAAGCGTCTATCTCTGAGGTGGGAACTTGGAGGCCGCACACTTCAGGGCTGTGGTGTGGTGACCACCGTGCCCCACGTCTGCGTGGACGGAGCAGGGTCGGGTCTGCGCGGGGTCCTCCTCCCGGCCCATGGTGTGCCCCACAGGACCCGCCGGACAGCGAGGACAAGCAGAGAGGAGCGGCCGGCCACACGAGGGGCCCGGGAATGTGCCACGGGGCAGCATTCGAGCTGGACTTTGAAGGCTGAGGGCAGACTGGATGGATGGTTATAAGAGAGAGGATGACCCTGGCTGAGCGACTGGCGAGCAGGGGCTTGCAGCGGCCTGGTGGGCTCGTGCTGCTGTAAGGGTGTGAGCAGGAGTCGGGGGGGGCTTCAGGCAGAGCCCCGGGGCCCGTTTCTACATCAGAGACTCCTCAGGTGGTCGTGTAGGGGGAGCGCAGGAGGAGTGAGAAGCCTGAGGGTTCTGGGGAGAGCGGAGGGTGGGGTACTCGGCAGGGGCTGTGGGACTGGGACGGGGCAGCCTGGGCTCCCAGGAGGAGGTGCTGCATTGGGTGCTCTGTCCATCCCTCCCCAACCAGGGGCGTCGCCATGTCTGTGTCGCACCTGTGGCCTGCCCACCGCCCGGCACGGGGCCTGGCACACGGTGGGCCCCGGACAGACGGCCAGATGATACATCGGAGACCCTGAGTTTAAAAATTGGTGGTTATTCTGACAGCAATCGGCACTGATGTGCGCTCCAGATGGACAAAGCCCTTTGACAGTCAGCGTCCCCTCACCTGGAGCCCTCCTATCGGCCCTGAGTGGTGGTCACACAGTCTTAAGTTTGTAGGTGAAGAGATAAGAGAGGTCAAGGGCACTGCCCAAAGCGTCACTCACATCCAGGCCTCAGGTTCCAAATATAGGGCCGTCTCCACCTGCTCTCCTGTCCCTTCAGGGCAACATATCATTTCCACATGCCATTGGGGATCTTTCCAGATCCAGAGATGGAAAGACCACTTTCTTCTCTAGCCCTAGGGGCCATTTCTAAGTCAGGGGAATATTTTTTCCAGGACCCTCCAGGGTTTCCCAGAGAGAGTCTGGGTCCCGATCACTTCATGGGGAGCTGAAGTGGGGCCCCTGGAGGCCTGGGCAGGACTGGGGGCAGAGGATGCTGGGGCCGTTTCCAGGCTGAGTAGTGGGTCCTCTGGGGGCTGCCGAGCACCCCTCACCAGCCTCTCCCGCAGTTTGAAGGCTGCAGCAAGGCCTTCTCGCGGCTGGAGAACCTCAAGATCCACCTGCGGAGCCACACGGGCGAGAAGCCATACCTGTGCCAGCACCCAGGCTGTCAGAAGGCCTTCAGCAACTCCAGCGACCGTGCCAAGCACCAGCGCACCCACCTTGACACGGTAGGCCCGAGGCCCAAGGGCAGAGGCCGAGGGGGAAGGGGTGGGAGGTGTGCACGCTCCCTCACTTGTGTGATGCAGGCGAGCAGCCAGGGCCCGCGCAGAAACCTGCCTTCGTCCTGAGCCCTGGACCTTCTGGGCAGGATGACAGTATGCGGGGAGAGGGAAGGCCTGTCATTATAGGATGTTTATCCGATAGATAGGAGCAATTGTCCATCTCCCGGTTGGGACAAATGTCTCTCAACATTGCCCAATAGCCTGGCGAAGAGGAAGTTGAGAACCACTGCTTCTGCCTGCGGCTGCTGGCCTGGGCACCAGGGTCCAGGCATATCCCCATGGAGAGAGGGGGCTTCCCATCCTGCATCCTCTGCCCAGACCCATCAGCAGCCCCAGAGCAGACCTTCCCTGCTCTTCCCCCCCGCTGCCCCTCCTGCCCCATGGAGACAGGCCAGAACCTCTCCAGGGCTGTACTTTATCCCCTAAGCACGGTGGGTGAGGGCTTGAGGTGAACAGGGCCTCAGACTCTGGATCTGGGCCCCAGATACCTGTATGTCCACCCCCTTTCCCTCGTTTGGGCCTAACGGCATGATAACCTGCAACTTTATCACAGTGTCGGTCCCAGCATTCTGTCGCGTGCATCCAGACCTCAGCGGTTAACAGAGCACTTTCTAAAACGTCGTCTTCCACTGACCCTGCCCGTCAGGGGGTCGCTGACCCTTCTGACAGATGAGGGAAGCAGGGTTCCAGGAGGTTCAGTGCCTGCTCAGTGGGGAGGTGGCGGAACTGACCCGGAGCTGGGCCTCACACCTGTCTTACAGAGCCTGTGTGAGGGGTACGTGTGGCTTGGGAGGACCCCGCCCCCAGGTACAGCAGGAGACAGGTCTGCATCCAGAGTGTATGTCTGGGCCCCCTGCCTGTCTCTGCTCTTTGGACAAATGTTTGGGGAACCCTGCTGGTGGGGGGCTGGGAGACCTGAGTGGCCATCTGGCTCAGCCAGTCTAGGAGACAGATACACAGATGAGGAAACAGAGGCCCACAAGGGTGACTAACAACAGTGGTCAGAGCTGGAGGCCCTCTGGTCCAAGCCCTTTACTTGGACCGGAATAAGCTGGGAAAGCCAAGACCCAAAATGATGGCTGGTGGGGGAGAAGGGGGCAGAAAACATAGAGAAGTCATGCTGTGGGTGCAGGTTAGTCCCTCGGCAAGATGTTCTATACGTTTCCTTCACGACCAGTATCCCATACACTCTTCCCCAGTTTAATGTTGGTAACAACCCATAAGGTAAGGGCCATGATCCTCATTTTGCAAAGAAACTGAGACTCCGATGACGTCCCTGACTGTCACACAGCTGGTACGCGGCAAGGTCCAGTGGCTGGTGTATGAGCCCCCTGGAAAGGTGGAGCTGAGTACAGGGGACAGGGTAGGAAGGAAGAGCCCTGTTCCCAACTGAACCCAACCCTTCTCTCCACCCCTCCCCCTCTCAGGCTTCACTGTCACAGGCTGTGTTGGGGACACGAAGTGAGGAGGCATTCTCACCAACTCCTGCCTTCATTACGTTCTCACAAGCCCAGGCTTTGGGGCCCTTGGCCCCTACCCAGGCCCTGAGGGGCACAGTCTGTGCCCAAGCCGCCTAGTTAGGTCTCCCAGAGACCACAGGACAGCATCAGCACCAGGCCCGCTGCACGCCCAACCCCCAGCCTGAGCAATGTCCCTCCAGGCCTTCCAGGGTCACCTACTCTGACTTGCCCCCTTCTTCCCTCCCTCCTTGCTGCATTTCCTGGACCCAGCCCCAAAGCAACAAGCCTCTGGCCCCCACTTGGTATGTGAACAGAGCTGTGAGGCCTAGGGCAGGTCAGGCCCAGAATGAGCCCACAGGGTTATGTCAGGCCTTCATCTCCCCGAAGGTCCTGGTGAGGCCCCCTGTAGGTACAGCCACCAAGCCCAGCCCCCACTCGTGCCCATCCACACAAAAACAGCCCTGGCGATCCTACACAGCTAGGTTGCCTTCCCAGCACCCACGGCCCAGAGGCCAGTGGGTCAGCCTATGTGGGCTGGGCCTTCTTTTCCAGAAGGGACCCGGTCATGTTCCCAGCTCCCCTCTGGCGCCAGAGAACGTGGGATTCTCCCCATGGGCAGGAAAGTGGCAGAACAGACTAGAGAGAGCCAGCCAGGTTTTAACTCTGGCCCTCCACCTGGGCCCAGAGCTCCAAGGAATGTCACCTAGCCTCTCTGGGCCTCAGTTGCCTCCAACACCTACGTCATGGGGGAGCCATGGGGAAATCAACTCAAACGATGCAAGTACAGGCCTGACACGCGGTCCACACGGCAACTGCGAGTCCCTCCTTTCCCTCCTCTGACTCGCTGACGGAATGCTGACCAAACCCTGCCGTGTCCCCAGGCACTCCGAATCCTGGCTGCCCCTGCCCTGGGGGTGATCATCTCTCCTGCGCCCAGGCCAGGGGAGACCTCCTCACAGAATGTCACTGACACGCTCTTGCTGTGAGACCTTGGGCAAAGCGTCAGCCTCTCCTTCCTCCTCTGTGCTTCTCCCACAGTGGGTGTGAGGCTGGACGGGCTGCCCAGTGGAGACCTGGGGGGCCGTGTGGGCTGTGGCCCAGCGTCCTTGTTACTGAGGCTCCGGAGCCAGGGCAGTGACTCCTGCCTGGTACAGTCCCAGGGTTTCCTGAGGGCTCACAGGGGAGCGGGGCCGGAGGAATGTTCTGCACACGTCAGGCCCTGGAAAAACAAACACGGAGCTGGGCCTTGCGCCCTTTCCCGTCGAGTGTGCCTGCACACTTGGAGCTCTGTTTGTTTGTTTTTTTGGCAAGAGTGTGTGGATTTGTATCAGCATCCCCGAGGGACAGGGCCTGGGGCAGGACAGGCCGGGGCCCACGAGAGAGGATGTGTATGTGTACGTATGTGCGTGTGTTGGGGTGGGAGCCGACCCCTGGGAGAAGTGGTGTGTGGGTGTGGGTGTGTCTACACGTCTGTGTCTCACGCGGCTGGGAGGGGCAGCTCTGAGGTGCGCTCCGTCCTCCTGCCCCGCACCTTCCTTTCAGCGAGGCAAGCTCTCACTTCTCTGTCTCTTTCTTTTTGCTCTCCTCCGTTTCTTTAACCTGGCACCTGTCCGTGGCAGCACCAAGGTATGGTCGTCTCTTTCTGCTTCTCCCTCCCCGCGAGGCCCTTGGGTCTGTGGTTGGACTGGCCCCTCCTCAGGCCAGCAAGGACCGAGTTGCCTTGAGGCCGGAGAGCGGTGGGGGGACAGTTGCACTGGGTGTGTCTGACAGGGACATGGCTGTCCCTGGCACTGAATCTGAGAGGGGCCACCTTCTCCTTCTCCCCAGTCCCCTGCAGTTGCCAGAGGCCGGAGGGCCTGGAGAAACCAGAACCGTTAGGTATATTAGGGCTGAATGGTTTCAAGCCCCAATAGCAGCTGGAACCCCAAGCATGGTCCTACGGGAGCCCCTGGGGGAGAGCTCAGAATTCAGTTAGAGCCACTCCCTGAGACGGTCCCTGGGATGAATCAGAAGGGACCATCCCCCGAGGAAATGCACTCACTACCTGGTAGAGAAGGACATTGAACAAACCCAGCAGTGCTGGGTGCTCGGTGCTGCCCGGGGGAGGGTCGGGGTGGAGGTGGGAAGAAGATTCCCGAAGGGCTGGGCGGGTGGGCGCACAAGGACAGGGGCAGGAGGAGGGGTGAGAACTTCAGCTCACCCAAGTCCCAAACGGCCTTCAGTGCTGGGAGATGGGCTGTGTCAGAAGGCACGAGGGAGCCATGGAGGGGTTTCCCAAGGTGAGAGCATGGCCAGGGGCCCTCTGGCGGTGGTGGGAGGGGAGATTGGGGCACAGAGAGCAGCATGAGGCCCAGACAGGAGCAGGGGAGGCGGTAAAGGTATGGATTGGTTCCAGATGAGCAATGGCGGGGGGCGGGGGCGGCAAGGGGAAGGAGCACAAAGGGCACGGACCTCCAGTTTCCCCAGGCCTTTGTCTGAGATCTGGCTCCCTCCCGGCCTCCTGTGATCCTCGGACTGAGGAGCTGGGTTTCTTATGGACCAGAGAGCAATCTGGGGTCTCTGGACCCACTGCAAGGTGTGGTTAGTCACTCCCAGCCTGGGGCCCTGCCATACTCCAGCTTGGCCCTGTGCTGTCCCCTCTCTTCCCCCTCCTCCTCCTCCTTTCCAAGGCAGCCACCTCACCGTACTCCTTGTCCACTCGTGCCTTCTCTGCAGCTGTGGGCCTAAAGGGTGTCCTTTCCTCAGGGCCAGTGTCCGAGCTGGGAGAATCCTTAGAATTCAGGTGGCTCCATTTTGCAAGGGAGAAACGTGAGACTCAGAGATGGGAGGTGACTTCTCTGAGGTCCCAGCATGAGGGTAGAATGGAGACACAACCCGTCCTTCACTCTGAGGCCCATGGGCGGCGCTGGCTGAGTCTGACCCCTCCTGGCTGTGGATACTGGGGGAGGGACCGGCTGTGAGCCGGTAGCCTGCCCCCTCCCCGCTGTGGGTCACACAGTGCGACCTTGGGCTGACAGACGGCCCCTGCCTCACGCCGCCTCTGCCTCTCTGATGTTACAGAAGCCCTACGCCTGTCAGATCCCTGGGTGCTCGAAGCGCTACACGGACCCCAGCTCCCTCCGCAAGCACGTGAAGGCCCATTCAGCCAAAGAGCAGCAGGCGCATAAGAAGGTAAGACAGTCTCCATTCCAGGCCCGCCTCTGCCGGCGCCCCCCTGGCCTCACAGACACCTGCCCAGCAACAAGCCAGGTACCTGCACTCTTGCCTGCATTCACCCTTCTGCACACCCGAGGATGCTGCCGTCCATCATCCGTGACCTGCCTCCCACCGAGTTCATTTCCTCACCTCCAGTCGGCCAGACATCTATCCACCCACAGACCACCCACCAGCTTCTCTGTCGTCCATCTGCCCCCTCGCCCTGGCTCGCTTAGTAAACATTTGATGGCAGGCCCTGTGTAGGCATTGAGGATGCAAAAATGGAAAACCATGGTGCCCTCCTCCAGTGGGAACCTGGCAGGGAGAGACAGACATAAAGAGATCATTCAGTAGAATAGAATAAAGACAATAGAGGTCTGCAGAGACTAGTCAGGGGCACAGAGAAGGGGGCCTTAGCCTGTCGGGGTGGGAGCGCAGTTGTGTGCGCTCTGGAACCAGCCTGCCTTGGGCATAGCTCTGGGCCCCTTTGTTCTTCACGTTCCTCAGCTGTCCGATGGGGGCAACAGAGGACTTGCTTTAGAGCATTGTCATGAAGATTATGTGAGTAAATATACATCAAGGGTGTAGAACAGTACTTGGCCCAAAGTAAAGGCCCAGAACAGAAGTTGGTGCGTGTTGTCATGAAATCTGGAAGGGGTAAGCATTGGGCAGGCGAAGCCCCTCAGGAGAGCGTGCCCCAGGGAGTGACTGAAGCTGAAACAGCGGGCACCCTGCCTGCCTCGAGGCCAAGCAGCCCCTGCCGGGGGCAGGCATGACAGGCCCAAAGCTCTACCGAGGAGTTTGGGCTGTCCCGAGGATGGTGGGTGCCATGGGGGGGGGGGGGGCGTCTTAAGCAGAGAATGTCATCTTGGAAGACAGCACTTGAGGCTGTGTGGAGAATGGGTTGGGCTGGTTGGAGGGGATCCTGAGGTAGGGAGGCCACTGCTGAGGAGCAGGAGAGGTAGTGGGGGCTGGCTGAGGCGGGAGAAGGGGGGTGCCAGAGGAGCCACAGAGGTGGACTCTGGGAGGCAGGATGGTGGCAGCCCCCTTGACAAGGACCGAGGATCTAGGAAAGAAGCAGGCTTGCAGGAGAAAGCAGTGAGCTGTTTTGGACAAGGAATGTGGGCGCCGCAGAGGGACCCAGTGCAGTGGGGGGATGGGACTGCTACTCGGGGCCCAGCCCACCTCTGGGCTCAACCCACATCTCCAGAAGAGCACCAGGGCCATGGGACACAGGTACTTGAGTGCAAGGGAGGGTGGGGGTGGGGATGAAGAGAAACACCCAGGCCAGTCCAGGGAGAACAGCGTGACCGTGGAGGGTAGAGCAGGGAGAGCTTCTTAACTTGCTCTGCAAGACTTACGCAGTACCTACTGTTTTCCAAGCACTGTTTTAAGAACTCTGGCTAGAGCTGTAAGTAAAGCAGAGAAAGGCAGAGAGGCTGGAGAAAGTGGCCTGCATCAGTCGCGTGGGCTGGGGGTGCCCAGAGCTTGGCCTGGGCCAAGCAAGCCTCCACTGGAAAGACACTGGGGTGGGGGGCAGCCAGGCTTGAGGCTTCAGTCTTCATCCTGCAGGCAGTAGGGAGACCCTGGGAGCAGTAGAGCAGAAAAGGGACACGGTCCAAGCGTGCACCTGAGCTGGCCGGTGAAAACACCCCATCTGTCCTCGCTCCGACGAGGGAGGGACGAGTTGAACCCAGTGCAGAGTCCTGCAGCACAGGAGTGACAGAGCCAGGGTCCCACCCCAGACCGGCCTGCCCCAGGGCCTGAGCTCTCTCCTCTGCTCTCAGGTTGAAGGGCCTGAGCAGGGATGGGGAATGGCCCAGGCTCCATGCCAAGGCGGCTTCTATCCCGAGCAGACTGGTGCCCGAGGACCAGAATCCTGCCCTGGTTTTCCCAGGCCCCGTGCTTGGCTCGCACTGAGCCCCAGGGACCTGAGGCCACAGATCTGCAAACTTCCCAACCATAAGCATCCATTAGGAGCCATTGGGGATGATGTATCTTTCTGGGTAAAGCGACCCTTGTATTATGACAGCTCCTTGGCAGCCCTGCTATGTTTCAGAGAGAATTAGAAATGCTTTTCTTCCTTAATTCTCCTCTCCTGCTGCTCCTAATCCGATTGACATTGCGGTCTGCGAGAACATGCCTTGACCCTCTTTTGCCAGAAACTGAATTTACATGGAAAGCAGCTGCTGGGCCAGGGAGCTGAGGGTCCGTCGGGAGGCTGGGCGTGCCGTCCCCAAGCCTGGGTGCTGGCCCTCTGGCCTGGGAGGGTGGGAAAAACCTGGGCACTGACTCTCAGCTGCTTTGTAACATGGAACAAGGCTCTCACCTTCTCTGGGCCGGTTTTGTCCTAGGTAAAATGAGAGTCTGGACACGTCAATCTTTGGAGCTCTGATAGTCAGGCTTTGGGATTTCCCTGGGAGAGGGGGCCCTCCCCACCCAGGTGCAGGCCTGCCTCATCGCCCCATGTCCCAAGGGCCTCAACCAGCCATGCCCTGTCTCCATCTGGCCTATCTGGGGAGGTGAAGAATTTTGGGGATATGGAGCTCAAGTCTGCCTTTAAGACAGCTGAGGGTTATTGGCCAAAGATTTGCCAGCCAATGACCTCCAGTCCATATATAGATCCGGCGTGCCCACTGTCACATGACCACGCGGGACTCGGCCAGCTGGGGTCAGCCGGTACCTTCAGCAAGCTCCTTTGTACCTGTCCTTTCCATACTCCACACAGCAGCCTGGGGTGGGGGGCAGTTGTCGTTGCTCATTACAGGCAGGGGCGAGCCAGAGAGGTTGAGTTACTTGTCCAGTGTCACACAGGGAGTGAGAAGAGATGGGTTGGAATTTGAACCCAGGTCTTCTGTCTCTAGCCCTAGACTGTTTCCACTATGCCTGTGTCAGGAAGAAAGAAGGAGTGGGGGAAAGAGGGGAGGAAGGAAAGACACTTTCTATGTACCCACTATATGTTACTTTACCCACATGAGTTCACTGTGGCAGCCACGAGAATGGGCCACACAGTGGCTGCTTGGGGGAGGCCCCAGTTGCTGTACTTGGCCGCCCATCTGGGCCCGTGCATGTGAGACTGCGCCTCCTGTAGGCTACTCCAGCCAAGAACTGAGTGTGGCAGGCCCTGCGGGGACACTGAGGCAAGACCCCTGCCCAGGAGACACGGGACCCCCTGACTTCCAACACAGCACAGCTCCCTGAGGACTCCTAGTCTAGGATGCTTCCACCAACTTCGTTCCCTCCCTCCCTCCTTCACTCTGGGTCAGACTTGTAACTCAGCCCACGGCTCTCCCAGCCTGCCCAGCTCTGGTTTTCTCTCATGCACACACTTCCCCTGTTAAAATCTTTGCCTGTTCACTCTTACGTTAGCGTCGGCCTCTCAGCCCTGAACTAACCCAGTGTATACAACTAGCTCCATTTTACAGATGGGGAAGCTGAGGTGCAGTGAGGTGAAGGGTCTTACCCTGGTCTTACCATCCTTCCTGCCCTGTCCCCTAAACCGAGGGTTGCCGGCGGGCAGGTGGTCTCGCACAGACACCCTCTCTCCCTCTGCTTGTTCCTCAGCTGCACGCAGGCCCTGAGCCCGAGGCCGACGTCCTGACCGAGTGTTTGGCCCTGCAGCAGCTCCATGGGTCCACACAGCTGGCCGCCAGCGACAGGAAGGGGGGCCGCACCCTGGGCCAGGAGTTGCTCCCAGGTACGCGTGCAGGGAGGCAGGGCCAGGGGCACGGCCCTGCAGGAAGACGGCAATGCTCTGTGGGCTCCCAGGGGCCACGTGGGCACCCACTCCTCTGGCACACATTCCTTCACCCTCTTCTGTGGCTCCATTGCCCACAGGAGGAAGCCCGGGCTCCTTTCAGCCTGGCCGTCGAGGCCTCACGGGGCCAGGCGCACCCCACCCTTGGCACATCAAACCCAGTTCCCTGAACATCCCGTGCTCCCTCTCATCTCCAAGCCACTGTATACGCCTTGCCGGCCTCCTCACCCCTACCCTTTACTCCTGCACTTCCTTCAGGCCCCACGTCAGGGTTCAGGCCCAGGCCTCAAGCTGGAGTCGCGTGTGCCCCACCAGAGCTCCAAACCACAACAACCGGCTGCGGAGGAGAAGCCCGAGGCTCGGAGAGGGTGGACCACTTGGTCATAATCCTTCCAGCTTCTTAAACTCTGCGGCCCAGACATGGAGCCCCTCGGCCCCTGGGATGCTGCAGGCCCGTCCAGCCGGACACGCAGAGCCTCTGGTCCAACTGAGGTAGCCTGCCTGTCCTCCCTGGCAGCTGCGCGGGTCTCGGGCCCCAGCAGGAAACCCTCGCTGAGTGGCTGGCGGTGTGGCCTGAGGGGGGATTCCCGCTGACAAGACTGGTGCTCTGCCCTCCACTCCCCCCAAAGAAACCGTAGTACCAGAGCAGAAAGCTCTTCCCACCCTCTGGGATTTCTTGAATTACTCTAACTATTTTAAACATTTTTTTGTTTTCTAATTTTTAATGCTTTCCCCTCAGTGTTGAAGTAGCAGCAGATTTAAAACTATGTCAAAGCCCCTACCAAACAGCCTCAGGAAGGGAAGGCGTTTACGCTTTCTCTGGGTCGCCCTTCACAGGGATCTGTGCTCACAAAGGTCCACAAGGGCAAGGACGCCCCAGGAGGATGGGTCTATGGAGCAGGGATCACACCCTCTTCATGGGCTGCTTCTCACCAGGTCAGAGTTGCTAAAATAGCAGGCAAGAAGAGACCCTGGGGACAACGGCTGTGTTGAGGATTCCGAGGCCCAGCAGGGAAGAGGCCTGTGACTGATTAGCAGCGGCTGCCCTGGGGCAGAGGGCCCTGCAGCCCCATCATTTTTACCCTGGGAGGACTCAGAATTGGGCAGGAGGAGGACTGACCCAAGGTCATGTGGAGAAGTCAGCAGCAGATCCAGGCTGGAAGTCTGTTCTCGCAGACACGAGGCCAGGGCCTATCCCAGGGAGAAGGGCCAGGCCCACCATAGCCATCTCTTGAGCACCTGCATGGGCTGGTCACTAAACGAACATCCTCTCATTCAGTCCCCATGAGCCCATGCTGTGGATGAGAAGCCGAGTCACTGAGGCCGCATCAGGGATGGGACGGGCGTTAGGGTAACACCACGCCTGTCCAGGCTTGCTCTGACAGCGAGCGAGTGGTGTCTTCCCTGCCTCAAACCTCGGTTTCTCCCCCAGACCTGCTGTGACAGCAAATGTGATTGCGACGTGATCGCGTCTATAACCCAGTGTGGCAGATAATTTTATCCTGATTATTGTTGTTGCTCGCGGTGAATGAGAAGAGTAACTGTTGATTCACCCATCTCGTTATAACACATGGCCAACTGTTACCGAATGTGTGCCAGGAGCCGTTCTGGGGACTGTACGTGTACATGTTAACAGAATCCTCACGGCAGCCTCAGAAAGTACATGCTACTATGCTCTTCCTTTTCCAGATGAGGAAACGGAGTCCTCGAGAGCTTAAGTACCGTTTTGCTGAGGCTCCACAGCCAGTAAGTGGCAGAGGCCAGACTTGAACCTGGGCTGTGTGGCCACAGGCGGTGCCCTTAATCCGACAGTCCGCTGCCTCCCTGCTCGATGCTGCACCGCGGCATCCTGGCACCTGCTGTGTACCTGGCCCCGTGCTGGTCCCTGTCCTCAGGCTGCTTCCAGCACCGCGGGGAGACCAGGACCAGCCAGGCAGACCCAGAAGTTCTGGACCTCTCTGCGTGTCAGCTGGCCACACGGCAAATGCCTGAGGCGCAGTTAGGAACAGATGTTAGGGCCAGAAGTCAAGCACTCGTGGCTGATGATTCATGACGCTGATTTATAGCCTCCAGTGGTGCATTCTGGGGAGAGGCCAGCAGGCTCCACGGCGTTCCCCCCCCCCCGCCACCCCTCATGACACAGTGACATCCTCATTGCCATCGCTGTCTGTCCACATGCTCAGCACGCCTAGCCCACCCTGCGTCTGTCTGCACGGCTGGACAAGAGAAGGTGGGCAAAGGCAGGGGAAAACGGGGCAGATTCAAGGAGTGTTAGGACAGAGGAGTCCAGAACAGAGGGGTGAGGGAGAGAGAAGAGCTCGCCAGGGTGACATCAAATTTTTGTTGTCTAACGATAGGAAAGTCCCAAGAGCTTGTCTCTCATCAGGAAGGCCCAGCTCTCTTCACAGGAAACCCTCAGGAGCTTAGCTGGCAGGCTCCTTTAGCAGACCCAGGGTGTAATATGATGGGCAGTGGGGTTATAAAAGCACGAGGTCAGCAAGGCTGAGGGAGAGAGAGCAGAATTTATCAGGATTCTAGGCCTTCCTAGCTGTCAGGCCCCCAAATTGGTTCAAGATGGCAGGTGAAGCAGTGCTCAGGAGAGTGGTGAGTGGAGCAAAGCATGAGCAGCACCGAGCCAGGCTCTATCCCCAGAAGTCCCCTCTGGTGCCTTCCTGACCAAGCTGGGGAGGGATGGTGGTGAGGGACGTGGTGGATGGATGGTTGGGGCTGCCCATGGGAGCAGAGGTTCCCAAGATGGGAAGGGAAAGGACTGGAGCTGAGAGGCAGAGGGCCCCCAAGAGCCCATTCAGAGTCCCGGGGTCTCACAGCCAGCCCACAGTGAAGCCTGGACCATAGGCCCCTACGAGGACGATTTTGGACATAGCCTGAGCTGGAGCTCCAGGTCAGTTCCTGGGCCTGGCTTTAAATGGACTTTCTTTTGGTATCACTTGGGAGGCTTGATTCGCTGCAGTTGAGGCTTGGAGCTTGCCATCCCTGCCCTGGCCCTACTCAGTTCCTGGTAGTAGCCTCCTGAATTGCAGGCCTGGACGAAAGGGGGCAACCTGGGATGGGCTAGCCTTGGAACCCCAGCCACCGGAGAATGTCAAAGTTCGTTCTTGACTCCATCCATGAAAAGAGTGTGCTGTGTGCTCAGATGGTCCTCATGGTAAAGAGCATTGGGTCTGAACCCACGATGACCGGGGTGCCGTGCAAACTGTAGCAGCTGACCCAGTTCCCACCACCATCTGTCCCCTCTGTCCACGGCTGGGTGTGGTCCCCAGGTCTGCAGTCGTCCCGGGCCATCAACTGGATGACTTAATTTCTAGGAAAATTATGGCAATTTCTATTAAAATTCAAATAAATGTGGCCAGATTTTAAAAGGAACAAAATTGGCCCCATTTTTTTCAGATAAAATGGAGAAAAACCTGCCACCCCTGCTGTGTCTCTCTCAGGCTCTAGTCCCAGAGTAGGCGTCCATTCTCCCCTCTAATTGGGGTTCCTTGGTGAAGGCATTTGGGAAGCACTGGCCTCAGTAGCTGCTCCCAGACCCTCAGTTAGGCCCCTGGATCAACATCTGACTATGACCTAATGTCCCCCATTTGATTCATCCCCCACCTGTCTTCTTAACAAGGGTAAGACCCTTGGGAGTAAAAGTGATAGAAGGTGGTATCACCCTGCAGGCGTCTTCTAGAGGTTTAGAATCGTAGATGAGAGTATGACTGCCTCCACTCCTCCGTCAGGAGCCTTGTGTCATATACAGCCTATACAACTGTCTGTGGCATCCCTTCTCATAGGTCTCCTGGGCCAGCCTGCCATCCAGCTAGCACCATCATCCTGTCTTTGGGACCCCTCACAGTGGACATCCAGGCTGTGCTTGCACGTCTCTGGGGGCGGGTAGTTCATTTCCACCAAAGGCAGCCCGTTACCCTACAGCACTCTGCGTGTGAGAAGTACGGCTAAGCCCTGAGTCTCTCTCAAGCTGCTCTCCATTCCAGGACCCCTGTCTGCTTCTGGGGCTACTCGGAACAGCTTGAGGCAGCATGCTCCATACAACCCCCCACCCTAAAAAAATGCGCGCACACACACACACACCCAGCCTGACCAGCTGATGCCTCTGACAGGCCCTTGTCAGTCCACCTCTGCTTTCAGGATAGCCTCAGCCCCCACAGCCCTGCAGCCAGGGCATGAGCAACGGAGCCGGGCCGTCCTCCCCTCGTTTGGGCCCCGACCTCCTGTTAATACCACCCCACTGGTTTTCCTCCGTGTGTGTGTCTTTCTGCCAGTAGGCACACAGCTCCTGGGTTGTTCACAACCACCTCTAGGGCGTGGCCCAAGCCCAGTGGTATTTGTTTGCTTCCCTGCAGGCGTGTATCCTGGCTCCATCACCCCCCATAACGGGCTCGCATCGGGCATCCTGCCCCCCATGCACGAGGTCCCTTCCAGGCACCACCCCCTGGACGCCAGCACCAGTTCCCACCACCATCTGTCCCCTCTGCCCACGGCTGAGAGCACCAGGGACGGGTACGTACAGCAGGCTGGTCCTCCGGGACAGCGAGCAGGCACCTGCTCGGGAGGCAGGTGAGGGCAGGCGTCCTGCGCAATTTTCGGTTGTTACTGATAATGCAGACGGTGGGCATTTATGCAGCACTTGCTGTGTACCGTACCCTGTACCGAACACCTCCCGTGCACGGTTTCATTGGCACCTCGCAGCCACACAGCAGGTAGAGGGTGTTGGCACCTGGACTTGCTGACGCCTGCCTCGTGTCCTCCTCCCCCGTGAGGGTGGCTGAGGAAGGCGCCGTGCCCCGTCCCGCACCCCGGACTGCCATGCCAGGCGCCCTCGGGGGCCTCACTCTGGCTTCTCTTTGGCTCACACTGTGGGTTTGGTGAGCAGACTGCCCACTGCCCACTCCAGGGGTGCTCATCTGGCCCTCACCCCCACTTCTGGCCGCGGCAGCTGTGGTCACTGCCCTGCCTTCGGGGACTGTCCAGGGACCCCTCGTGCAGGATCACTGCAAGCAGGAGTGGCCTCTTCCTGTATTCAATGTGGTTCCCATTGTGGCCACTTAATTGGCTGGAAATGGTAAATGTGCTAATTGCTGGCCCCTGGTGCTGCCAAAGTCTGTTTTCCTTGCAAATGGGCAGAGGGTGGTCACATAGCCCCACCGTCTGCCCTCCCCGCCACTTTCACTTACCGCTAGCAGGACTTGATCAAACTTGTCCCCCAAGGCCTGGCCTCAGTACCTTCCACCTCCTCTGCCCTTCCTCCCCAAGGCCACAGCCTTAGTCTTGGCATCGGCCTGCCTGTGCCTGGGGCCAGCCTGGCTTCATCACCAAATCTGTTGTCCAGGGCTCCTAACCAGGCTCCTGCCACTCACTCATCCGTTCATTCAGCGTCCAGTTATTGAGCCCTTGGTGTGGGCTGGCCCTGGACCCCGTGCTGGAGCCACCGATGACCCCAGCCCTGGAGAAGCTAACCATGAGGAGGGGACATAGACCTGCAGGGATTGACGTTGCAGGACAAGGGCTCTGAGGGAAGAAGCAGAAGGGGCTGTGGGCGCCCAGAGGAGAACCCAGTGCGGTGGGGGACAGCGCAGGGAAGGCTTCCTGGAGGTGATGCTAGGCCGGGCCTCCACAGTTAAGTAGCAGTTGACTGAGTGGAGGGATAGGAGCAGTGAGTAGGCGTGGTGAGAGCTTGGCGTGTTCTGGGGAACATGCACCTTCCTTTGAGGTGACAAGCTCAGGAGGGAGGTCGCCAGGGCCAGATCACCCAGCCTGTGGCGGGACTATATCCGAAGGGTGCCAAGTGGTGATGTGGTCGGTTTGGGGAGGACGGCGTGGCTCGCAGCGTGGGGCTGGTTGCTAGGGGCAGCATCGAATGTGTGTGGGTGGCGGCCTGAGCCAGAGCTGGTGGGTGGGGAGGAGGACCACAGGGAGGCATTAGTGACAGAGAATCAGTGGGCCTCTAGGAAACGCTGGCTGGGCAGGGAGAGGAGGAGCCACCAGGGATGAGCCCCTGGGGAGGCAGAAGTGCTGTTCATGGAGAAGGGGAAGACTGTGGTGAGTGGGTGGAGAGCCACGAAGAGGCAGCCTGATGGGGTGCAAAAGGGGACCCAGAGATCAGGCCTCCCTGAGCCTCAGTTTCCTCCTCTGTAAAATGGGTATTAAGATATCCTCCTCTAGGAAGGTGGTGAGGGTCAGCCATGCCTGACATACATGTGCCTGGCACTGTACATGTCATCTGGTGCAGGTTCCACGGACACCGAGCCCCTGGACCCCATCCACCCACCCACCGGCTCAAGCCACCTGCTCACCCACCAGCCAGCCCCAAAATATCTCCAACCAAACTAAAATAAACCACCGAGGCCTTTCCCCACTCAGGCCTGTGCACTCTGCTCCACCTCATTCATCACCTGCCTGCCTCCTGCGTAAGTGCCCGTCAGGAATTCCTGCAGCGAGAGGCAGAGTGCTGACAAGACCAGGACGGCCCAGCCCGCCGTCTAACCGCCCGTGTCTGTGGGAGCGAGGGCTCGAGTCCTCCCAACCGGCCAGGCGCCTGGGCTCCGTCGGCTGGGCTGCGGGAGAGGAGAGCCCTCAAGCCTAAGACCAGGCCCAGGCCCAGCCTGAATGGGTTTTTTTTTTTCAGCCCCTCGGAAGAGAGGTAAGGCACGGGGGGAAGGCCTTCAGCCTCCCCTTCCTGCCAAAGTCAACAGGGAAGGCCACTCGCGGCTCCCCGGTGGTTTGCTGGGACGTTTAAATAGCTTGACAGAATTATCTGATTCACTCAAAAATATGCTAAGAGGGCCCGACTTCATGACCAAATTTATTTACCCTGGCTCAGGGAAGACGCTGAAAGGGCGGTTTTTTTCCCTAGCCCCATACGAGGTATGAAGCCCTCAGTGTGCCAAGCCAGTGAGGTTTTATATTAATTTTTATAGGTTCCAATTGAAGCAAAAATATTTGATTTAGGAATCATTTGCATGACTCAGAAGAGGAGCTCCAGATGCTCTTTTTTCCTTTTAAAGAGTTCAGGTAGAGCAGCGTAACCTCAGCCTTCATGTCTGCTGCCGAGAGAGTCGTGTTCTGTTTAATTTCACTGGCTGTGAAGGTGGCAAATGTGAATTTATGGCAGGTTTGAGACAGGAAAAACAAACTTTGAGAATGCATGTTTTTTTTCCCCCCCTTCAGATCTGGTTCTCCTTAATTCTGCAGCACTGTTAATCTCTGGGTTTTGTAGCTGAGCGTTTCAGAAACCCGTTTGTTAGTATTTATCAGCTGTTTGCTGTGTGCCAGGCCCAGGGCTGAGCACGGAGCCCCTGAGAGGTGAGGCCTGGCCCTCCCGCAGGAGCTCCCAGGGGAGGGCACCGACCGGAAGTCGGGGAAGAGCGGCCTGGGTGCCAGCGTGGGGCGGGCGTAAGGCAGGCGGGCACCGCGCAGCGGGCCCGAAGGAGGAGGATCCACCCTTCTGGCCACCACAGCCCAGCCTCAGCCAGAGAGGTGGCTGTGAGGACACATGGCTTACGCACAGCCACACGCCCCCCGCCCAATTTGATGGCCCTGTAGGAGAAGCCTAAAAGTAGTCCTGAGGAGGATAATGAGAAGTCGTGGAACCTTGATGAGGATTCAGTTCACTAACTTGAGGCTGCCTGTGCGAGATGTTGGGCTGGGGCCCAGGGGCCCAGCACAGAGAACCCCCGTGTCTGCTTGCAGTGCACTCAACGGTGGTGGGGTTCCAGACATTGAAGGATGGCAGTGCAGCAGAGGGTGCCCAGGTTGGAGGGAGCAGATGGGGGGACCCAGCAGAGCTACCGACGTAGGGCCCACTGGCCTCTCCCCAAACCTTCCTCTGTTCCAGGATAGTCTTGCTTCCCTCGGAGAAAGGCACTGATCTGTCCCCTTAAGGCATCATGTTTTGGAGGGTAGGCAAGGGTAGTATTCCTGGCCTGAAAAGGTCACTTTAGCTGTGACATTGAATTTGTAGTATATTTTAATGTGGATCGTCCACCAGACCCACAAAGGCAAATAAGAGAGTAGACACTCTGAGCTCCCCCTGCCTCTTTCTGCAATGCACATAGGGCTTTACAAGCAATGAGCCTTCAGCCTGGTCCCCAGAGCCCCCAAGTCCATCTGGCCCCAGGGCCAGGTTTGTTCCTGTGAGCAGACCCCAGAGGCGTTGGTGACAGCATGAGGAAGGAACCTGGGCTGCAGTGACGTGCAGTCCAATTAGATGACCCGCATGGGCTCAGCTGCGTTCAGGGTGACTGCACAGCTCTCAGCTGCTGCGGCCTCATTCCAGATTGTGAGCTTCCAGAAACACAGGCTCAGGCCTGCACCACCTCAGGCTCTGTATGAAGGGAGGTGGTGAGCCCCCCATCATAGGATGTATGCAAGTGCAGGGATGGAGACAGAAGATCTCTGAAAGCACACTGTGCAGGGGAAGAAAGCCCAACTTAGACATCAGAACTATCTGCTAGTTTTCTTTCCCTGCATCTTTATAATAACGATGACGACTCACGGAGTGGCTCAGAATACATCTGACATCATATTGGGCGCTCTGTCCACTTTGATTTATTTAATTTTACCCTCATCCTAACCTGTGAGGTTGGTGCTGTGTGGCCAGGACTAACTTGGCGAGCCACGTCTCTGAACCTTGGTGTTCTGCTCTGTGCGGCAGAAACAAGGACTTCTCTCACGGGCCTGAGATGAGGCGGGGCTCAGCAGGCGCTGACTGTTAGTGCTCTGCTCCGGAGCTGCCCGGGGGTCAGCACAGCTCTTCCTGGGCCTGTCCTCCAGGTGGCCAGAGCGCAAGCGCAGACTGAGAGCAACACAATCCAGTGGGGGGGCGGGGGGGGCTGGTACTTCGCCCAGGTCACGAGAGTCCCAGTGTACCAGCTGGAGAACACAGCAACCCTGGGAGCAACACAGGGCTCAGAGACATTAAGCATCTTGCCCGAAGTCACGCAGCCAGTGAGAGCAGATGGGGTTTAAAACATGGTTCTGTCGACTCCAAAGGTGATGCTGATAACCAGTGTGCCTTGCCGATTGCCAGTCCTAAATACCAGATAGAAGCTCTTCTTTACTGATTCCTTTGGACTCTCAAGCTTAGAGGACTTTCAAAGTTAATTCCAGTTTGAACATAATCTGTAGTAAAAGTTTCCTCTTCTAACTGCACTGTCTTAAGTAAGAGCAGATCAGGTAGTGAGCTCAGCGTGGCCGGAGGGAAGCAAGCAGCAGCAGCCATGCCTCTGGCCCCCACGGCCCCCAGAGCCTATCCTGCTGATGACTGTCTCTGTTCTCTCCAGGTTGGGACCCGGCCTCCTCTCCCCTATGGTCAGCCCACTGAAGGGGCTCGGGCCACCACCGCTGCCACCATCCTCTCAGAGCCATTCTCCGGGGGGCCAGCCCTTCCCCACACTCCCCAGCAAGCCACCCTACCCGCCTTTCCAGAGCCCTCCACCCCCACCTCTGCCCAGTCCACAAGGTAGGCTCTGGCCGGGGGCCTCTCTCCATAGACACCCACTGACTCCTGCTCGGGGTGCCCGAGGGGAACGGGGCACTGACCTGGGGGAGACAGTGGGTCGTCAGAATGAGGGAGGGCACTGAGGGCCACCATGGGAGAAGCCAGGAGTCAGGTGACCCAACACGCCTCGTCTGGGGCACTTCCTGGAGGAAATTCCACCGGAGGGGTGAGGAAGAGTTTGTCCCATGGACAAGGCATTGAAGGGAACAGCATTGCCGCTGGCAGGGGTGGGAATGGCCTGCCACTTGGAGGGAGGTGAGTGAGCAGGCATCTCCGGAGGTGGGGATGGAGGACCGACAGTCCCTTTCCTCAGAGCACTGCATCAGCCACAGATGACTCAAGTCAGGTGCCGCCACATGAGGCTACCTTACCCGCCCCCGCCCCGTGGCAGGCAGAGAGCTGGGAAAGGGGCCCGGGACCCCTGGCACCTTCTCCCCCCTGGAACCCTCTTCTCTCCCTCACACCCAGCATGGCTGGACAGGACGATGTGGGAGGCTGAACAGCGCAGCAGGGACGGTCCCCTCTTGGCCCCCGGCTCTCTTCCTTTGCTAATGCAGCCCCTGTTGCCTCCCTCTGCAGGGTACCAGGGCACTTTCCACTCCATCCAGAATTGCTTCCCCTATGGCGACTGCTACCGGACGGCTGAGCCCGCAGCCGGTGGGGACGGTCTGGCCGGGGAAGCCCACGGTTTCAACCCTCTGCGGCCCAATGGCTACCACGGCCTCAGTGCACCTTTACCTGCCACCGGTAAGCTCCACCTGCATGCCTCCCTTCCCTGACCACCTACCACGGCCCAACCCTGTGCTGGGTGCTTATGCACATTGGCCTGAAGCCCCGGGACGGCCCAAAGAGGTAGAGTCATCGCCACTTGACAGAAGGAGAAATTGAGGCTCCCAGAGGTCCCAAGACCCCACAGAATTGGCACTGACATCCTGCCTGCCTCCAAAGTCAGTGTTCCTTCCACATCGTCACACGGCTGATACGTGTCTGCTCTCTGGCAGGTTTCTGAAGACAGAGAAGAATCAGACTTGAGAGCTTGGAGTCTAGTTGATGTTTCGCTTTAACTATTTACTGAGCACCTACTGTGTGCCAGGCACAGTTGTAGACCGTGGAGATACAGCAGGGAAAGAGACAAATACGGATCTCTATTCAGCAGATAAAATGAGACCAGAGTGGCCACACTAGTAGGAAAGGACGGAGCCTAGACATTGTGCTTGTCCCTTGTGCTACATCCGTGTCCCCTCCAGGGCCCTGGGCCTTCCACAAGTAATGCCCCTGCCACGGGGGAGAAAGGCAGCGACAGGCCAGGGTGGAAGGGCTCAGACCAGCAGGGCTGGTGCTGATCAGAGCAGGGCATCAGAGGGGTGGGGCCAGACCCTCCCGGAGTAACTCAAGCCACAGCCCACCCCAAGTCAGCCTCCAGGCCCGCATCCAGGGGAAGCTACGAGGCCTGGGGCAGGGTGGGGGCCCCAGACAAAGGAGAGCCTGAGACCCTGTGCCAGAGGCCCCTTGGGCGGCTCGGGGGGGGTGCAGCTGGGGGTAGAAGATTAAGGACATAGGGATAACCACGAGGCCACAGATGATGAGATGCGGAAACCTGGGGGTCCGTCTGCACGTGGTCCGTGGGTTCCTGCTCGCACACATGCTCTCACGTCTGTGTAGGTCTCCTTTCTTCACACGTCTGTGGCACATGTCTGTGGCGCCTGTTGTGTCGTAGGGCCTGCCCAAGTGGACTCCAAGCAGTGCGAGCCCCCCGAGTGTGTAAAGAGCTCGCAGGGCACAGGTGCTCATGTCTCACACGTGTGCAGACATCACGCTTGGGCCGATGTTCATGCCCTGTGCACGCACGCGCATGCTCCCTAGCCCCGTATTCCCACCTGCCCGCACCCGGTGTTGCCCCGAGCCCATCCCATGACTCCTGTCTGTGCGCACAGACTGCGTTCGAGCGTGCTGTGTGTCTGCGGGTGGTGGCGGGTCACATCCGTGCGTCATCGGCAGACGTGTACCCCATCCCAGGGTGCGTGCGGGCGGGGGGTGTGTTTCCTGTTTGCACACACGTGGGTTGGTGTGTGATGAGGCCTGGCCAGCCATTCCCAGCACTGCTGGCTCTCGCCCACCTCATCCTCCCCCTGCTCCATCCGGCCCATGGCGGGATTTCTGGGTTTAGCGGCAGGAATAAGTAACTCGGCAAGTAACGGGCAAGAGGCAGCTTCCATGCCCCCACACCAGCGTAGTGGATTCTTCTGGCCCCCTTCCTCCCCTGCTATCTGGGTGGCAGCCCAGCGTTCAGGGCCCATTCCAGGACCCGCGAAGCTGTCTACACCTCCTGCCAAGCTGAGCATAGACAGGCAGGATTGATCCAAACTAACAGGGTGGGGCTGTGGGGCCTCAGGAGTAGTTTGGCTTAATCCCACTGCACAGATGGAAAGACTGAGGCCTGCCTATTTTCGGCTACAGAAATTTGTGACAGCAGCTCAGGGACAGAGCTTAGGGCAGGGACTGGATAAGTCCCTCCAGGTTGAAGGCCTTTGAGCAGTGACCCCACACAGAGACAGCACGTCCAGTGGAAGAACCAGGTGTCTCGGGGCCAGATGGATCTGGGTTCAAATCCCAGTTCCCTCACCTACAAGCAAGTGACCTTGGGCAAGTGTGGCCTCTCTGAGCCTGCCTGCTCAGCTATAAAATGGGATAATGACTCCCACCTCACAGGACTGTTGAGAAGCTTAAGTGAGATAGCTTCAAGAACCCTCAGTAAGAGCCCAGTGAGTGCTCATCTCCTTCTTCGGGTTTCTTGTGTCTGGTTGGGTGAAGGAACCTGAAAGGGTGGGGGTGGGCTGGGTTCCCTCTGCCAGGAGGGGACCAGCCCCCGAGGGCAAGAACTGTGATAGCCCAGCCCTCCCTTCCCCACATTCTGCCCTACAGTCCAGCACTGGACGACGGACTGCCCCAAGGTCGCCCGTCTGTCTGTCCAGCTGCCCTGGGCCCCTTGGGGGGAGTGCAAGGCCTAGAGCGCCTCCTCCCACCCACTGGCTCCCCTGTCTGGAAGAGCAGAGGCTCAGGGCCCGGCCGAAGGGACAACCGTGAGAAGGGACCCTGGGCAGGAGGATGGGGTCAGGGGGCTGGGAAAAGATGATGAGGCAGAGGCCCTGCGTTCTCCAGCCCGAACCCTGTTCCCCACCGTACCCACAGGCTACGAGGCCCTGGCCGAAGCCCCCTGCCCCACGGCACTGCCACCACAACCACCCGAAGACATGGTGTCCAGTGGCCCCGAGGACTGCAGCTTCTTCCCCAACGGGCCCTTTGACCACTGCCTGAGTCACATCCCGTCCATCTACACGGACACCTGAAGGAAGGCCCCGGCCGCACCTGCACCCCCCCCCCCCCCCACCGCAGACACTACCTTGCCTGCTAGCTGTCCGTCCCCACCCTCTATACACCCAGCCTGAGCCACCAGGCCGAAGCTCCCCACAGACTCGGGGTGGCCTGCGCTGGCCAGGGACGATCCCCTGAGCCCGATCTGGCTGCTCGGACATGCCTGTCAGGATCCGTGACCTGCGACGTTCCTCTGACTGTGTTTTCCTTTTCTCTCCCCAATGGTTTTGAAATCACAGACCTCGTGTATATAAAATGTACAGAACTTGTTTTCCATTCCCCTTCCAGTTTTATATTGTGGGTTTTTACAAGAAAAACATTAAAAACTGGAAACGAGACGTGGGGACCTGGTTCTGCCCGCGAGCCAGCGTCGAGACCAGCAGCACGGTGGAGGGGTGTGTAAGGGAGCCGGGGCGGGCGCCTGGGAGGCGCGGGGAGGGGGGCCCGCCGCACACGGCCCGCACCGCCTGCTGGTCCCAGACGCGGCGCAAGGCAGGTGAGCCGACCAAGGCTAGGGCTCACACTGGAAGCCAGATCGCCTGGCCTAGACCGTTGCTCTCTGCCCGGACTTCTCAGCCGGTAGAAGAACAGGCTTCCAGGCAGGCACTGGCTTCGGGTCAACAGGGAAGGCCGTGGGGCTACAGGGCAGGCCTTTTGGAGACAGAGCCCAAACAGCCTCCTGAAGGCGGGGGTCAGGCTACGGACAGCGTCCCTGGGCCACATATCCCCACCCCACCCCAAGCCGTCTGGGAGGGGAGAAGGAAACCAGTTCTAAGGGCACCGAGGCTCCATCAGGGTTGCTGTCCTCCCCTGCCTGGCTCCCTCCCCATCATCCAGGCCTGGGCAGATGGCCTGGACAGTGTCCTACATCTCACCACGTCACCCTGAAGGTCACCTGGTTAAAAAAAAAAAACGTCCTCCAGGAAGATTCCTACTTCAGCATTGCCGAAGTGAAATGCAATAAGGGAAGTCACGGGTACTGCAGACCTACTGTGTGCTGGGCTCTCCTCGGGCAGCTCTGTGTCGAGCCTCCGGTCCCCCTTTAGGTGAGGCAGAGCAGTCACGATTCAAACCAGCTCAAAGGAACGCCTCTTTGTCCCACATGGCTGGGGCAGGGAGGCAAAGCAAGATGGAAAGATCTAGTCAATCCTTCTTTTTTTTTAATGGTTTATTTATTTTAGAGAGCGCAGGGTTGGGGAGGGGCAGAGAGAGTCTTAGACTCTGCACCGTGCGTGGAGCCTGACTCAGGACTTGATCCCACAACCCCAAGATCATGACCTGAGCCAAAATCAAGAGTCGACGCTTAACCAACTACACCACCCAGGCACCCCCCAATCCCTTCTTTATAGAGAGGTTCGGGGTTCAGAGAAGCCACCCAGCCAAGCGGTGACAGAACTAAGCCTGCCACCTGTGTACGTGCCCGGTCTCTCCCTGCAACCTAGGGAGGCCATGCGTGCTGCTCTGTGTCCAGGGCCAGCCTGTCGGGACTGTGCCTGGGTTCCCTTCCCTCTGGCTCTCAGCTGGCTCCAGCCAGTGAGGAGCCCCGCATGGGAAGGGAGGAGGAGAGCAAGGGTCACTGGGCGGGCTCTGTCCTCACTCAAGAGCCCAGCTCCAGCCACGTGGGCCCCCCCACACTGTGGCGGTCACGGCAGGGCTCCCTGTCTTCCCTCTTCAGGCATGGGCTGGGGGCTGGAACTGCCCCCACTCAGGAAAGTCTGTCCCTCATTTGCCTGCCACCTGTTCACGCTGTTGTACATAACTAACTAACCCTTTCCTTCAACCCTCCTCACCTGCCCTGGTCAGACGCCCATCTGCTTCCTGCCGGAGCCTGACAATGACCCCATTTTACAGATGCAGAGACTGAGGGACCGGGAGAGCACAGCCAACGGGTGGTAGAGCAGGGATTCAAACCTGGGGATGGGGCTCCAGAGCACATGCTCTCACTCACTGCACTTCCAGCCCTTAAGGACTCAGGGCAACCTGGCTCCCACCTCCTGCTCTCAGCCCCGTCCAGGCCCCCAGCAGGGAGATTCCAACTGAATGCCACACAGCACGTGGGCAGCTGGGATGAGGACCCAGGGCTCCTGACTCCCAGGCGCCCCTGATCCCGTAGTCCCATCCTCCACTGGTTTTATGGAACTAATTAGGTCGTGGCAAAATTCCTTTAAAAGAGATGCTCAGGAATCAATACTGCATGTCATTGTAAGCACTTAATCTGCTCCAGATAAGCAGAATTAAGCCGTACAATGAGGACATATTTCTATTAATAATGAAAGGGCTGAGCCGTGAGCAGGAGAACACACAGGGAGCTGGCAGTTGGATCCCATTTAGTTTCTGAGAGACAGAGAGAGGGAGAAAGGGGGACAAAGGCAAAGAGAAACAAAAGAGAAAGAGAAAAGACAGGCGAGTGAGCTGGAGACAAAGGCCCGGCACACAGTAGGGACTCAGTCATAGCAGCTTTCATCCTGACCCTGAGCTGTAAGTGTGACTGCCCCCTTCCCTTGCTGGGGTCTCCTCTGAGCCTCCGCTCCTCCTCTTGGCACCAGGAGGCCTCCCGCCCAGACGCCCGCAGGTCTCCATCCTAGTCTAGCGAACACAGCAGCGGGTGGGCCTCTGCAGCAGAAGCCGCCAAGAGACTGGACCCAAGCTCCTTCCCGGCCATGCTTTCTAGCAAACACAGAACCGCGGCCCCTCTCGAGCTCCGACCGAGTGCCCGGGCTGCAGCCAGGACTGTGCTGCCATCACGGGGCGGGGTGCTTACTGCCCCCCTCACAAAGGGGCTTCGGGTCAGGTGGAAATGGTCAGGATCTCGTACCTGGAGAGGCCCTGGGGGATGGACCGCCGCTTGGGGCCCCGCGGGGTCTGTAGGGCAGCGCAGCTGAGTCTGCCCAGGAGGCCCCAGAGGGGAAGCCAGGGTACAGGCTTGGTGCCCAGGCCTGCCAGGTGACTGCACTGCCCTTCCAGCCCAGCCATGCTGGGGGGCCCCTGCTGCCCTGCCCTTTGTCCAGTCCAGGCTGAGACTGACCTGTCCCCCACCCTGCCTTATCCCTATCTCCATCAGGGCCCCTGTGTCTTCTGTCTCTTCCTGGGCCTCTGTCTTCTGTCCCCTGTCCCTGTCTTCTGTCTCTCCCTGTCCCCCGTCTTCCATCCATCCCCCTGTCCCTCTGTATCCCATTGTTCCCTGACCCTCTCTGCTGTCCCTCACTGCTCCCCTTGGTCCCCCAGTAGCTCTCTGTCCCTCCATCCTCCGTCTCCCCATCTCTGCTGAGCCCTTTTGTCCCCCCATTTCTCTCCTCCCCCCCTTCCTCTGCCCCTCCCAGTTCACTCCCTGTGTCTCTTTTTCTTCTGTGTCTTTCCCCTGCCCTCTTTAAACTGCAAGTCTTTCTTCTGTGCCCAATTCTCCCTGCCTTTGCCCCCTCCTCGGTGACTCTCGCTTCACTGTCTGTGGCCTAAGGCAACATAGGGCTCTAGTGGCTAGGGGGAGAGGACCCAAAAAGGGCGTCCCAGAAGAGTGCTGGTGGGACAGGCCCTTGGGGCAGGGGCCTCTGGTCACTCACTCCCCTCCTCGGCCACCTACAAGGGGTCTCTGGGGAGAGTGGGTATCAGGACCTCCCCTTCTGCCCTTCATGGCCAGGCCCAGGGTCCCTTGATGCTGGGCACAGGGATTCCCCATCCCTGGATCTGCCGGGACTCCCTCGGACTCCAGAGTCTCTGTTGCCGCTGGCCCTTGGGGTCCCCCATGACTCAGGCCACCAGAACTAAGAGGCCCACCGAGGCCACCGGCTCCGCCCCCTCTCCATGGATGGAGGATCCCAGAGCACATGGAGAACGGGGCACCAAGCAAGGGGGGAGCCGTGGGTGCCATGCCCGCTTTGTCCCTCGGGACGCCCCTCTGCCCACTGCTGTGAAGGGAGCGGGCGAGGCTCCCCCTGGAAGCTCGGGAGGCAGGTCCTGCTCTGCCCTCCGCACGGCTGACTGCCCGGCCCCTGCAGCACACAGCAGGCGCTCAGTACTTGTTTGCTGAATACATCTGAGGGGCATGAGAGCCAGGAGCGAGGGACCCGGGCCCCATCTGCACAGAACCTCACGCAGAATGGGGCTGCAACACGCATTTGTGAGCTCGCTGCCCCGTCCAACCCCTCGTTTTCCAAATGAAAAGACCGGTCCCAAGAGTGTGACGCGTCCAAGTTTACGGAGCAGGTCAGTGGCCAGCAGTGGAGAACCCAGGCCTCCGGTCCCCAGCCTGCCCCCTGCCCAGCCCATCCTGTCTGCCCACCTGAACACCAACGGCATCCCATGCCTTCCGGCTCTGCCGGGACCGACGTTGTTAGGGCACTCTGCGAGGTTAAGTGTCATTAGCCCATTTTGCAGAGTGACGAACTGAGCCCGAGAGAGTGAGGGCAGAGCTGGAAGTCCAGAGCCGGTCTGTCGCACTAGCATCGGGCTGCCCTCCCCTGCCGACTTGGGTCCCGGGGAGCGGCCCGAGGAGATTCGGTGCCCTCCCTTCTCCGCCAGCCGGAGGGAGCCCTTAGGCTCTTACAAGTCCTGATTTATATACTCGCCTGGGCCGGCAGCCCTGCCAGGGATTTATAGGTTTCTAAGTAATCGTGTCTTTGGAGGGAAATGCAAACGGGCGTGAACCAGGAAGGAGAGGCTGCAGCCCAAACTGACAGAGCCAAAACTCTTCAGTTTATTCCCAGGGGCCCCAGGGCCCGTGGTGTAATGGGCCCTGCAGAAGGCCCGCCAGGGGCCAGTGAGGCATCGGGCCTCCAGCAAGCCGCGTGCCAGGCCTTTCCACCAAGGAGATGTGCCCTGTGTCTGCAGGAGGGTGGGGCTGCTGCCTGAGCTCCCGCGGGGCCGGGGAGCATGGGGCGCGGTGCTGGGTTTGGTCAGAGCAAAGAACGGGGGCCGCCGGGTTTCAGGATCACTTGGAGGAGGTGGGAGTGTGGAGGGGATGGAAACAGGTTTTGCCTCAAGTTGAAAATGTTGAAGCTGGAGGATGGGCCCGTTAAACTATTCTCTGGGGCTGGTTATAATATCCTCTGTACTTTCATGTATATGTGACATTTTCCAGAAAAAAAAAACTGACCCAGTCCCAGCGTGGCCAGGGTGGGATTTCCTTGCTTCCCAGGCAGCCTAGATGGGTACGAGAGGCAAATTCAGACGAGGGCCCTGGAGGGGGGTCTAGGGCCCAAATTCGTCTTTACTGTAGGCCTGTCTTGTCATAGCAGGGGCCATGTTGGAGGTCTTGTGTCCCCAGGGCCTCACACAGGGCCTGACACACGGTTGGTTTTCTGGATTAATTTGCCAGTGACAAATGAAAGTCTGTGC